ATTTAAATTCGGTAGAATTTCTACTCCAGCTTTTGTAGTCTACGAGCCTTTATCTGGAAATGAAGCCTCCTAAATTTTCATTTAAAGGGAGATAACCCAAAAGCGGAAGTGGATTTTTGACGTGTTTGACAGCATTCTGATAGAGTTTTGTAACGTCTATAAACCCTGCAAATTTGAGCAAAATCCGTTGAGAAATGAGCGCGATATGAGGCCTCAAAGTTGGCGTCTAGAAAGGAGAAGAAAGAAAAAAAAAAGAACTAGAAACTCATTGCGAGCAATGAGAGGTCTTCCGTCCGATTTGGAAAATAAAAATGTAAATTCAAGCTGAAAAATTGAAAAAAATTCAAACACTCTTCAGATTTAAACCTGGTCGTCAGCGTGAAAATCCAACGTGCTAACCATTACGCCATTTCAACTCCCGCTTCAAAGTGAAAATGACGAATATCAAGAGTTTGGATTTATCAATTTGAAAACAAATTATATATTTAGTATTTTTTTAAAAGAGGCTCTCTTAGCCCTACAAATATTACAGAAAAATATTGAAGTTGAAAAATCGATTTTTTAAATTCGCTTTCGGAAGCGACCGGAAGTAACGACTACGCATGAAAAGGTCCCTTCGCAAACTAGAAATCATGTTCTATCATCTCAAAAAAAAAAAATCACTCAACATCATTTATAAAGTTGAAAACGTAAATTTAAGCAAACAAATTCGGGATAAAACCCAGATCGCCTTCGTGAAAATTCAATATGGAAGCCACTACACCAGCGCAATTACCAGCCCTCATCAATGTTTACTTTGTATCATTGCCTGAAGTATCGAGCGTCAGGGAGGTTAAAAGTTTTTTATATAGTGCGGAATTATAGAATAAGAGCTAGCTAGCCAAATTTTGTGCAAGCAGATTCACATCGGAATTCGTTACTTGAGTTTAAACAATAACAAATAATCTATTACTGATGAACTGATGATACTGTTTACTTCCTTTATTCTTTGTGTATTCAACTTTTTAGTCCATGCAATTCCATATACCTGTATTTCATACAAACTTGTCCGTGTAATCTTTTTCTGCACTTCTGCATCAGACCATTTTTCTACTATGAAAGAAGAGTCACGATATATTACGTCACGAGTAAATCTTCGCGCCTTTTCTTTGAAATGTATGTTCTTTTGAATGGTCTCCATTCTCATATATATTATTGTATGTACCGTACAAATTAATCATTTTATTGCATTTGGGGGTCAGAGTATTTATGTTTTCAAAGACAGATTATCCATTTCATAATCTGAAAGATCCTTCATATTTCATTGATCCTTATGGTAGTTTCGTTCAATAAGACGCTCGGATGTCTCCGTAAACTACAACTTGCCAATCGGCAATCCTCGACTGACTCCGCTACGCTCCATACAAACCTCGGAAGTGATTGGTGGAGAAATATGCACCAAATCGATTACATTTCTCCGCCGGAAACTGCCTTGTAATTTCATATTTTACTCTGCATGAATTCTTCAATCATTTTTTCCTCTTGTCTAATTCTTCCTTGGATATTGGTTTTGATTACAACATCATGTGAGTAGTCTTTGAAAGCAAAACATAGTGTTGAGTGTGCTTCAAAGTAACTCAGACTTCAAAGGTATAACATTTGGAGGAATTTCAAATATGATCACATGACTGTATCAGCAACATGGTAGAACACCATTGACGTCCGAGGTTAGTGTGCGAGGAACGAGCCACTCGAGGAGCTCCGAGTGCCAACCTGCTCGTTGGAGTTTGCGAACACAGCCGCCATTTTGGACCCGCTTCAAATTTTAAAATGCGAATATCTAGAGTTTAGATTTATCAATTTGAAAACAAATTATATATTAAGCATTTTCAGAAGTGCCTCTATTAACACTACTACTATCAAAGAAAAATATTGAAAATCGAAAAAGTTTTAAAAAATCAACTTTTTAAATTCGCATCTGGTAACGACCGGAAGTAATGACGACGAACGAAAAGTCACGTCCCGGCTAGTATTTATCACGATCTATAATCCCTGAAAGTTTCATATTGCTATCTTTTACCGTTCTTGAGATTATCCGTGGACAAAATGTTATTTTAAATTCAGAAAATGGTCCGTAACTTGGCACCAGAAAAGAATTTCCAAATATTCTCTCGGATAAAATATCTTCAGATTACAACACATTGTTCCTGCAAATTTCATTAAAATCCATCCAGTAGTCTTCGAGAAATCGCGTGCACAAAATTAGATGGTCAGAAAAATAATAATAAGAAGAAGAAACAGTAGAATCACTATAAGGTCTTCCGTGAAGACGGAAGACCTTAATAAACACTACAATCACTATAAGGTCTTCCGTCTGAAACGGAAGACCTTAATAATAAGAAACAGTAGAATCACTATAGGTCTTCCGTTGAAAACGGAAGACCTAATAAATTACTAAAGATATTCAACCAAATCCCAATTTACTAAATATATTTTTTCACAAAACTTAAGAATTGCCAAGAGTAACGTATTTCTCACAAGTAAATAGCAACAAAAACATATTTTGATCCCTTTTCTGGGTCAAAATGAATGTCAGGGGATGACAGGGAATTGACAGGGTGGTCAGGGGCTTAGTCAGGGGAAATCAGGGAGTTGACAGGGACGTCAGGGAATGTCAGGGGACATCAGGGGTTAGACAGTGGTAACAGGCGCAAAGTCAGGGGACGTCAGGGAGTAGACAGGGTAGTCAGGGACAACGACAGGGGATCATAGGAGAAAGTCAGGGGGAGACAGGAAAATGTCAGGGACAGACAGGGGAACGTCAGGGGATTTTTTGGAATCTAAGGGGAAAATCATTACAGTAGTGCTAGGCTTAATATCACATTACATTTTCCTTGGTGAGATTTTTTAGCAGACATATTCTTGTATTCATACGAAGCAGAATTTATTAAAAATCTTCTACATGAAAAGAAGAAATTTCTTGCCGTGGCCTTCAATTCAACATTTAGATACATCGGCGACCTTTTGTCAGTTAGCAATATTCATTTTCATCCCTTTGCTGATATATCCATTTGAACTAGAAATAAAAGCTAGCACAGAGCCTGACACATCTGTTTCATAACCTAACAACAAAACTTTATAATGAACATGACTTCAACATTTCTACATGTATCGTCAACTTCCCTTATTTATGCAGCAATATCCCATTATCACTAGCATATATGGAATTTATGTCTCCCAGTTGATTCGATACGCAGGAGCGTGCTTAAAATACAAACGATTTCTCAAACGAGGCTAGCTATCGACAAATGAGTTTATGAAACAAGAATATTAACAGTCTCGTCTACGTCAACATTTTGTAAAATGGTCAATACAATGACCTTGTTAGCAAGTACAATCCATAATATATGAAGTCGATTGCTGACTGACGTTCTATATTTAAACAAGACATTTACCCATGTGCGGATGAAGAAAGTTTTGAATTAGCTGGCTTAGTGTTATATAAAAGACAATGGCGTTCTCAGCATTTAAAGAAAATACAAAACAATAATTAGTATTCGGTGAACTTTTTTGTTGTGTTTTTTTATCTGTTTATTTTGAGGGGGTCAAAGTTGTATATTGTATACTAAAATCATACATTGCACTTCATTGACGTGAATGAAATTATTATTTTTTAATAAGAATGATTACGTACATGAAATTAGGGGAGTAAGATGTTTGCGTATTTTGATATTTCTTTTCTTTTGATGCCTTATATGAAATAATTTCATGATTAGTCTAGTCATTTCAACAAAGTTGCATAATTAATATTCTTCGTAGCCTTGTTAATGTTTGATAATATTAACTCCCTATTTACCAGTAGGTGGACATAAACACGTTTAAAATGCCTCAAATAAAAGATCAGTTACAGGTATTATCGTATGGAAAAGAATTCACGAATCGTAGTATTTATAAAGTGTATTAAGTATGCAGTACAATTTTTTGGATACATTTAGTACAGTTTGCATTGATAAAAACAATGACGATAGCTTGACTTAAAAGCAGTATTGAATATACCAGCAGTGAACAAAAATGACATTTACTTAGACTGAATGAGAAAAAAAATCATTTAAATGAGTAATCACTTTCGCTCAGCTTAATTTCCCAATTATTCGACTACAAGACAAAACAAACGATTACTTTGGGAAAAAAATTAGATATTCTATCTTCTCATCCTGCTATGAATATTCCTAATTTTAGCTCTATATTTACGTCTACATTATTCATGCAAGGTCCAATCAGTTTCGTCCACAAAATTGATATTTTAGTCTAAGAAAATCCAGAATACATAATTGGCTTTTTTTCACTTTTCGTTAAAGATTAAGGCTCTCTTTTCTATATAAGATCAATTTGCAAAATTGAATTGTAACATAGTCGTTTTTTCAAAGACACAGTGCAATATGACCAGTCTATGTGATATATCTTTTGTTGTCTTTTTCAGGCTTTTTCAAGCTACCGATTTTTCAAGGAAATATAACAGCCAACTGGTTTATGATAATAAAAAGTCAAATAAAGAAACTTTTAGGAGAATACATTGCTAACTCGTTGTGTGAGTGTGCTGCTATGTGTCTGCATGAGTATAGCTTCTGTGGTTACAATTCTAAATCGACGAAGTGTCGTGTTCACGAGAAAATCTTCACTTCCGGAATTTCTGTCGAGGCAGGATAGAGATACTTTTCTCGTCGTATGGATAATAATTACTTTTACCTCTCTCTCTCTCTCTCTCTCTCTCTCTCTCTCTCTCTCTCACACCTACAAGAATACAAATTCACACGGCACACACTCACTCACATCCCCATCGCACCCTCATACCCCCCTCCCCCCCCCTCCCCCCCCCCCACACACACACAAATAATACATAAATAAATTTTATAGCGATGGACTTTGCAATTGATAACAAATATATTTAAATACAGGAAATGACGCAATCCATCAGTTAACAAAAGAAAAGGACTCATTCCTTTATGTTACTATTACTCTAGAAAATGGTACAAGGCTGTACGAAATGTGCAATCAATTCTCGATTTCCAGCGAAGCAGAGAAGTACAAACTCTTTCTTGCAGGCAATTGCAACAGGGACCCTAGGTATGTGCAAAGTAGAACGAGAGAAAGAGGAAGGGAGAAAGAAAGAGAGAGAGAGACGGTGAGGCGAAGAAAGAGAGAGATAAGTGGTTGCAAACGCGACGAAAATATAAGTTAAAGCATCAATAACCACTAATTTCATTCTGTTATATCCAACAAGAGTATATTTTGCAAATACACGTATACAATTCAAATAAGTCAATCAAATACGAAAATTCACAGAGTATTAAACAAATTCTATGGTCAACGCAATGACTTGTTGTTTTCAAAAGTAATGTGTCTTTTGATGGAATTTCCACTGACAATTTTCGTACCGATTGTCAGTCATTATTCGGATACTGAATTTTTTAATGGATTGTCTACTCGATCATATGGATTTCTTGATGATTCCTTTATATGTACATGTATTTCCTTTTTTACCTCTACGGAATACATGTATATATAGGACATTTACAGCGCGAATTAGATATATAATAGCGACGATATTCACGATAGCTTAAGGAAAGTTCAAGGAAAATAATTTAATCGCGAACAAAGTGAAAAGAAGAGAAAACGCAATATTTCCACTTTTACAGTGCCTGTTAGTGGAACATCATTTCTAAAATTGTGACTGTTTGCATTATATAAACTTTAAATAGATAATCTCTGCTATTAAATTTTCATGCTGTTACTCATTAGAAAAATTTTAGCAACCTTTTAAATGAAAAATATCCCGTGTATCATATTTTAAAAAACCCGTCAAGGTTGCTCAGTCTGTATACATCACTCGCTTCGTGATCGGATGATCGTAGGTTCAAAACCCGGCCACGACTGACATATGTTGATAAAAATAGGTAGCAACTGTTTCTTCGCAAAGCGCTCGCCTCCTTGAATTGAAAGCTGCAGGTTTTTCTGATGAGACATTAAAAGCTGTCGCCCCATGTTATGGCAGGTGTTGGCACGTTAGATATCCCTCACATTGCTTAATAGTTCTGATTGGCAAGTAAAGGTCTAAATTTGAAGCCCTTCACCGGTACATTGTGACGTCTCGATATCAATAAAAAAATTCAATCAATCATATTTTAAAACTGTAAAGTGCCTGAAGTAAATTGTTACATTAGACAGGCTGCTATAGGAATTGTTTTAACCTGTAAAGGAGACAACATGAGGAGACATAATCTCTCTGGGATGTACTTAATCAGTACCCTAGACATGGATAATGATGGGAGTAATTGAAGAGTGCTGCTGATTATGGTGTGTACTTCAGTACCCCAGACACGGATAATGATGGGAGTAATTGGAGAAGCTGTGCTCTGGGATGTACTTCAGTACCCCAGACATGGATAATGATGGGAGTAATAGAAGAAGCTTTGCTGCTGATTATGGAGTGTACTTCAGTGCCCCAGACACGGATAATGATGGTAATCCAGCAGAGTGGATGTATCCCTGGTATCCAGCAGAGTGGATGCAGAGTGGATGTATCCCTGGTATCCAGCAGAGTGGATGTATCCCTGGTATCCAGCAGAATGGAGGTATCCCTGGTCTCCCACTGTTGAGGATGGTACATCTGTGAGGGAGACCATGATGTTGATCAAACGTCACTAAGTAAACTTCTTAATTCTTAATAACCAGGGCTCCGTCTATTTACAAAAGAACTTACGACTTAGACTAAAATATAATGTTGCGAATAACTTTTTTCTCTATATTAATTTAAAAATCAGAGTAAATATTTTTTTTTCAAATAATTTTGAAAGACTTTTCATGCAAGAAATTTTCAACAGACATATAAACTTTGCAAGACTTAACGCTCAAATAAATATTTTGGTCTTAGTCGTAAGTTCTTTCGTAAAACAGAGCCAGATATTTACTTTATGTTAGTTTAGTGAACGTTTAATGATTATATGACAATTTCTGAGAGATATAAGCAGCAAGCCTTCTCTGAAGTATTAATATTCTTTTGTTTTTTGTTTAAATTTTCAACAGATGAACATTTGAAGAATGAGAAACCCATCATTCACAAAACATCTCTGACAAAAGAAACGATTTTAATCTACGTATTTTTTTAATTTAACGAGTTATTTCTGATGAAAGAGACAATTTTAAATTTATGTAAATCATTAGGATTTTTTTTTAAAAAGAAAACTGGTAAACTATTATGTTTTTAAGGAATTTTGTGTTTTAATTATTTCATGAATAATAGATTATTGTTAATTTTTTATACCAAATGTACTAAGGAAACGATGAACATTAATTGTGTGTGTTGTAATAAATAGAAAATTAGAAATATTTCGTTCTTTTCTACAAACACTGCCACAAGAAAGTGTCTGGATGCAAAATCAGATTGAAAATTGCTTTATTGTAAAACATATTATTAAAGATATTTGTGTAACATAATCAAGAACATCTGATGTTCATGTTTTGCAGTACATCGTTTCCGAGATAACGACTCTCTGAAGAGAGATAACCCCTCAGTGTCATCAGTACAGTATATGGGAAATTTGATAAATAAACATGTAATTCATTAATCTATGAAGAAATAATTGCTTTTATGGAAGCCATGTTTCATTATCATTTTCTTGGAAAAAGTGAAGCCTAAGACTTGACTTAACTGGTACCATATATTTCTTACCACAAATTAAATTGTACATTCATAAATTGAAAAGGCTAAACGTTTCACGTGTTAAGTGAAATGGCCCCAAATTTGTGCGCCTGGCAGGCCTATTCTATTTATTGTTGTTATATCATTACGTAATATGTCAAATGAGGTAATATATAAAAATCACGGAAGGTTGATCACAAATGCAAGCTATAGGTAATCATTAAAAAAGAAAAAAATAGAGTTTTATTCGCCTTCGTGTGTATAACATTCATCATTGAAGTTTTATTTTGACTTTATTTCTGGATGAAACACCAATAAATATGTGACTCTGAGTTAAAAAAAAGAAAAGAAAAGAAATTCTCCATTTCGCAATGTCTGATAGCACGGATTTCTAAAAATTTTGGAGATCGTCTACATTTTGGTGCAGTTACAAGAGAGAAAGTTTTTTTTTTTCAAGGAACTGATGTTAAATAAAAAGGTGTTTCGTACAAATATTATTTTTATGTAACGTGAGAAGAGTTTTAATTAGTTAACAATCTTGGTGTAAGTTCTACTTCGATATATGCGAAAATGATCGATGTATGACAGGAAGTAGGAAATACACAATTCTGTTCTCCGCGGGATGTTCAACATTGTGGCCCCACCACAGTTAAATTCTCTACGGCATAGTTAAAATGACAGCGCAGTAGTACCGTCACAGTAGAATATTAGCAACACAGCAATTGCGATCTGGAACATAAATAATCTCAAAATGAAACTAAATTATATGCTGTTTTTCAGATTCTTAACCGATAATTTATTTTCATTATGACCCATTGTTTGGTTTGTACAATCAATTATCTTCTTATCTTCTAGTTCTTTGCTGAACTTTACGCATGAATGGAAAGAGACAGTACAAGCAATCTGTTTTCACACTTTCTGTAATTGCAAATGATTTTTTTAAACCAATAAATTACTTAGCTTTGCTAAATATGATTATGTCTCAAAAATTGCACTGACACATGTATTGATGTTATGTTGGAAATTTAGGACAGTTCCATCAAAAATATACTTTTTTTATACTTCAGTTAACTGACACCTATAATTGGAAAAATATATATGAAAATTATATGAAAATTGTATTGTAAAAACAAGGTTAAACCCTTAAACTTATTATTTGTGAGATTATTATTTTAAGGTTCAATAAACTTATATTTGTTTACCAAAGCACGTTTATATGTTAAAGGGGGGTCACAGTTCACATATATATGTGAATCATTTTAATGTCTTTAACTCTATATATACGGATATCCATTTATTATATTTATTATAGTTAAATTTATTTCCCAATTTGCCAAATAATTAAAACTATTTGTCTATTAAACTATAATGATTCACAAAAGTTGTGCGTTTTTTGATTCATTTAGTGATTCTCTCGTGAATTTGGTCACGTAATACCGCAAATATAAGTATTTCGCTTAAGATTTGCACAGCAGTGATATTAGAAATGATTGAGAACTTTGACACCGTATCATATATCAACACAAATTAGCTATATGTCATCAATTTTCATCTATACGAACTTAATCAATTTATATGTTAGCTTTAAAATTCCAATTATAAGATTATATTCAAGTTTTCAAATGAAAAAACTTTATTCATTGGTCGTCTTTTTATGAGGCAAAATAGGAACAAAACATTATAAAAACGACAGATTTTTGATAAATGACTCACAAAATTATGATATTTTATTCATCAAACGGGTAATATCTGAGGCATTTCACGTTAAAGCACAAAGTAAACATTTCTGATGCATGAATGTCTAGCTTTCAATCATAAGATAGAAGCATAATTATACTTTCTAAGCCAATTATCATTAATATTATTTTACTTAAAAAATGATTTCATAAGCATTTTTCTGGCACAATAATGCATCAGACATCAAAAAGGACTTTTGATTGAAAACGTCAATGCAATTTAGAAAGGTTTTAGCTAGTCTTAAAGATAATATAACGAAAACAAATACGAATTTTCATAAAACTTGATATATGTACAATACTTGAATTTGTTTGTATATTGCTATTTCAAGCTGAAATCTAATACAAATGCCGCACATCGTTATATAACATGTTTATTACTTTGAAGAGTGATGAAATAGACACAGCCTGTTTGATTTCAGTCAAAGAATTCAGATACATTGAAGAAATTTTTGCTTTTAGATATGTGATATGATAATAAAAAGCATCAGTCTAACGTCATTTTATTTGAAGAGAAAAAGCAACAAGTTTTGCAAGAACTTTGAAATAGCTGTCAGAATATTTAAAATAAATGAAATTAATTTATGACTGTCACAGTTAAATTACTTGCATTATGTAATAATATAAAATTGGACATAAATTTTCTACTGAAAAAAAGAAAGAAAAATTCATGCAAGAAGCAAATTATTGTCAATGCAAGACAGTGTCATGGCAATACTCATAAACAGAATTCATTAAAAAAGTATTAAGAGGGTTATCGTTAGATTGAAAAAAAAATGCTTTATTTAAATTAAAATTATCTTCTTATTCTAATGATGACATGCTCTGTCAGGAGGTTTAATTACTTTGACTGATAACATCATTAATCTTTATAATATTTCGAAAGTTAGAGTTACCTAATACTTGGGAAGAACTGCTAAAATCATTTTGTAAATAAGAGTCGATGAAAATTCCTCTATTGTGTGTACAAAATTAAAAAAAAAACGTCGGGCAAGATTTCATGAAAAAGTGTGAAATGATTATTTCATTTACAGGACAGAGGGATTAAAGCAGTGTTTTTTGTCTCATAGTTTTCTTTTGAATAATACAATTTACTTAAAGAGGAGACTAAACTCTTGGGTTGTGCTGAACTTTTCATTTTCTTTTAATTAAGACATAAATTCGTATTTACTGATGTCAATTTATGACATCGTTTTCGTTTACTTCATAGCCTTAGACGCCCTGTGTTCTATACAGATAATAATTTATCTTTAATCATTGGTTTTGATATTTGATCTAAGAGTTTTTTTAAATATACAATTGCTCTGGGTGCTGCTAAACATAATCTGGAACGGTCATTTTTCTGAACACCCGGGTCGTGCTGATTAACATGATTGGATGAACAGAGAAAATCCTTAGACAGTTCATTGTGAAGACAGGGCCTTACAATTTGAACGGTAGAGGTCAGTCAACATTTCCCTTAACGATAGGTTGTATTTGCAAACAAGTCATTGAATCGACCATAGAATTTGCGAAATGTTGACTTTAAACGAGATTGTTGATATCCTTGAATCATCAACTCATATTTCAATGACCTGTCTCATTTTAAAAATTGTTCGACATAAGGCATGCTCTTTTGTATTAAAGCATTTTGGAGACATAATTACTTTGTAAAAAAAAAAAAAAATTAAAGTACAAATGAAATACTAGTAAAGCTTCCTTTGATAAATCGTTTAAATTTTATGAAATGAAAATTAACTTTGCTACTTTTGTTTGTTTGTTGTTTTTTCATTACTACATAGCAATCGAGGATCATGTGCCGAAAAATATACAGCAAATGAATTAAAATTCACTAAGCATCATTTCAACTACAGATACCGCTTCGTTCAATTGCATCTTTGCCATTCAAGTGTGACAATCTG